AAGCCTGCCAGTTTCTCCGATGTAGTTGCTTTGCCCGCAACTGCACCAGATCATATAGACAACTCCCGATTTACACAATTCATATTTGGTGTTAAGACTAAAATTGGCCAAAACAGACGGGCCACTACATCATCTTATGCCAACACCGCAAGGCCAGATGGTCACGGCTGACGCGACGAATCAGAACACACCCAGGATATTTATCGACTTTTTCTGTACGTTTAAATTTTACGGCGGAACCCTGTGCACACACAAACTGTTTCTGCTACTATTCTGTGAGTATGTCTATAAAGATGAATCCGCGATGGATTAAGAAACGTCAGGCAAATAAGCATAGTGTCCTAGCGATCGAGTTGTCTTCTACTTCACATATAATTGTAAATTATCAAGCAACTAACAGCGGTCCGGCTTCAGATTAAATAAATAGTCGAGAAAGTGAAATCTCAGGTTTAGGCCAATTTGTGTAAGAGGACAAACAAAGAGAAAGAGGCAGCCAATGTATGAAGAGGGGGAGGTCGGTGGACGAACTGGCCTTAGTGGGCCATCTCACTTTATTCACTGTTTATTTAGTCTGAAGACGGATCACTGCTTGCTGCTTGAATAGTCCAGAACCATACTGTGTTTTTCCTAACGTGCCTTTTTTCTGCATCATATAATTTCGGAATGTCTATTTCATCTATCCATACAATGCTGTGTATTCTATGTATGTATGTGAATTTATTTATTCGCTTTTCTGGTATCTCATTACAAGGGATTCCACACCCTTTTCGAAATGCCTGTGAATATTTAATAATGTTCATTGCTTATAAGCAACTACCTGAAAAGTTTAACTATATCCGATGGGTAGACGAGACCACTACCCGAAACGTCAGGCTTGTAATAAACCTCTTCCGGTGAACGCTCCTCTTTCTCCTGATCTACCACCCGGGAATCGAATTTTTAGCACTTTATCCGATATGTGTATGCGAACCCCATAAATAAGGTATTTTTGAAAGCTTTTACCGAAAATGTAAGTTCTCTCACATTCTTTATAGTGATGATGATGGGTTGGGCCATATTTGCATTTACAAACAAACACGAAAAAATATTTGCTAGAAAAATTAATTTTCATATTTTAAGCCTGCAAGTAAAATACTGCAGATCATTAAAAACATTCCTGAACAACTAACAACTAAATATATAGAAGAAGACAAGAAGAAGCAGAAATTTTAATTTTAAACAGGCACCAAAAAATGTCAGTTCATAGCCGTTGTAATCGTCAAGGGGTTAGAGACTGTTTCATCGATTGTACCCAGGTATGCCAGATATCAATTTGTTTAATAAGGACTCAAAGTTTGCTAACGCGGTTAAGAAACTGGTGAAAATTTGTTGAAGAGCAAATGAAATCACAACACTAAGGACTGCCGAGAAGTAAAGTCTTGCAATGTATGAGCCCAAAAACGGCATTTCGGATTTATATGTTCTTCTTGTAAACAGCGCAAGCGCTTAATAAATGGACTGTTCTTGAAGAAGAAATTCAAAGAAGGGACCTTTGAAATCCGCAAAAATGAATATAAACACCTCAAGGACATAGCAAGAGGTGTCGTAAAGTAACACACGTGATCTCTGCAAATTCTACCTAGGAAGTCCGCGAATCCAAATCTTCTCTGGTTATGGGCTTCCTGCAGATCGATGTGAGCCGACGACAAAATGTGAGCAGTAAGTGTTGCACTGATGGGATGTAGACAGAAATGATGATTGGCAGAGCAAGCATTTGAAGATGAATCAGAAGATCGATCAGTCTGGCTAAAAGAGATTGGGGCATTATTTTACAAAAACCCACAGCACAGGTGAACTCATATCCAATTCTGAGTATACTGACTGCTAGGTAATTCACCGAAAGCGGGATAATGCACATGGATGCGGTCATCCAACCTTGGGGTCGACTAAATTCTTCTATCTGATCCTGTGTAGTATGGTGAAAAGCCAGGCTATTCCAATTATCCACAAGCTGCTCAGCTGGTGTGCTACGCACCCAGTTGATAATTTTGTAGCAGGAGATGCTCAAGCTGATACCACTGAGGAGGACAGCCAGGCCAAAGCGAACAAAGGTCTCGGCGTATAGTGAGACCACCACGATATAGGGCAGATGTGTGTCAAGACATAGGCACCGTTTTCCATTCCAGTGCACTAGCAGTGCTTGGGGCAACATAACAATAATGCTAATTAGCCCCATTCCAACCACGTAGGCAAGATCGGCAGCCAGGGAGTTGGAGAAGGCATACGGGTACTTGCAGGCAAGCTGAACGGCTCTATTGCTTACAATGACGTTTAGGATGAGAGCGCCAAAGTAATAAAAACTATTGGTTAAGTAATCGCTTCTCCATGCATGGCAGAGTGTTGGGGCTAAGAATGAATCAGTGGGAAACAGATGAGGAGATATGGTTAGATTGCAGAGCTCAATGAAATTGTAAAAGATCACAGATACAGTAAGAGCACGCAGGTGTACAAGAAAGATTTTGGCTGTTCCCCTGAGTAGCGAGATAATGACCAGCAAAGCAATATTGAGCACCAGACTGAAGCAAGTCACGACGTTAGTGATTATCAGTAGAGGATCCGTTTGTAGCTCTGCAGTAGGACATTTCCAAAAGCCTGTTTCCATTTTATGACTGTGATTTTGGTCTTCGTTTCCGGAGAGGCACACAGGAATTGTATATCTACGTACTTGACCGTGTCACTGCTTTATTGAAGGCTACTCTTAAATTAACTCAGGGTTTCGGTCAGTTCAAAAGAGGAAACACCATTTCCAATGAGTGCTCGAGACATGGGTGGTAACCTAAAGATTGGTTTTCCTCTTCCAATAAACATCTATCTTATCAAAGTGCAACTTTACAACTAGCCTCCCCCCCTCACTACTTCGGGTTTATTATGGCATATATTCTTTCAAAGTCTCTCCACCAACCACTGGCTCCGGCGGTTGTTTTCGCCGCTAAGTAATCCCTATTGTTATTGCTGGGTAAGAATTACATGTACAGTAGACGCCAAAGATCATGCAACTTTCATGATGAACTTTGACTTGGTACTAAAGTATATATTTATTAACACTATTTTGATTCATTTAGATTATTGAATCCTGCGAAAGCCCTTAACAAGGTAAATCGTCATTTTAGTTAACTTTATTATGAGAAATGGCCATTAATTTTGGGGAAATTGGGAGTTGTCTGATACGGACGAAATTCACTATGCTATGACGAAAGAGAGAACCAAACTGCACGATTATGTTGATTATACTATGAAGGAACTCCAAAATAAGTAAAATAGGTACAGCAGATATTCCTTCCACAACTGGATAAGTTTGTCCAAAATTGTTCAGATTTGAATCTGAAGCCAATTTAAAGGAATCACATTTATTTGCATTAACACTGCAGATTAGTATTTTCAAAATTATGTTTAGCTATCCTGTGACTTTTTTTGCACAAAACGCAGTAACAGAAGAGTATTTGTTTGAATGCACTAATAACGCTCATTTTGTTCTTGCACGAAAACAAAAAGTCGAACGTGTTAATGCGAATTTAAGACAAAGAAGGTCTTATTGAATATAAGTCGTGTATAAATATTGTTTTTTATTAGTTTTCTTTCTCTTTCGCGTTATTTAGTAAACGGAATAGACCGAAGAATAATAAGTATTTCAAAAAATGGCAATACAGTGGAGTCCGGTTAATGTGGACACCTCCGTTCCAGGCCAACTGT